ATGTTGTGAGCCGCCCCGAGGCTTTGGCGAATGGGGCGGCATAGAAATGTTTTAATAAATAAATAAATAAATAAATAAATAAATAAATAAATAAATAAATAAAATTTTCAGTGCAAATTTGTGGTGTGCTTCACATTTTCTGTAGCTTCCTTGGAAACAGGCGGCAGGAGAGAAAACCTAGGATTTTGAATGTGAAAAGTTGAATGGTATTCTGAACACGAACTGCAACCTAACATAGTCCCTGAAGACAGTTATCCAAAGAAGAGATAGATCCTGTTCAGATATAAAAGCAACCTAAAGTTACAATTTGTTCTTTAACCCAGGAAGTAACCCACCAATTGCTACTGCCTACCACTGCTATTTCCAAGCAGGGTGTTGGTGTACCAGGCTCCCAGACTTCAAGAGAATGTAATGTGTGTTGATCTTTCGGGGCCCACTCAAAAGCAGCTGTGGGGGCAAAACTGGAGTTTTGAACTTGAAATACAGAACAGTGTCCTGAATGTGCATACTAACTTTCATCCCAACATCTGAGCTGTCAAGGAACTGCAAACATATGAATACAATGCTAAACAAAAATGTTAAACCAAAAACAGGACATACGCAGAAATACACAACTTTCCTAGAGTTGTCCAAATGGAGAATTTTGTTTTATTGATTGTACTTATGTTACATTTTAGTAGAGAACACAAAAATGTTTTCTAGATAGTATTGCCTTGCTAGCATCTCACAAGAAGCTAATCTCATAATGTTCAAATTAGAACTCTTCAGAAAAAGTATCAAGGAGAATCTCTCATATTATCACAGAGCCTGGATCCAGTAACAGGAATATACAATAAAGCTGTGGTTTTAGTATCTATCATAAATATCTTCCAATAAATTCCTCTTCTGATATAAAACATAAAAAACTATTCAAGCAGCCATGGAAGTCAAGTCCCAAACTAATCATCCACCAGCAAATCACCTAGAGGGAAAAAAGGGGAAAAGTCCAATAAGAAGCAGTTTGGCTGAACCTCTCTTCTGAGAAAGTTTCACTTTTAAAGGCAACCTGAATATATGCATATATTTAAACAGTGATTCTTTAACTGATTCCTTAGCAATAGTAGAGCAAGGATTAAATATGCATTTTTGTGCAGTGATTAATGTACATCAACACAACTGTCTTGACACTTTGAACACTTTCCCTAAAACCTGGTCTTTGAAGGTTAACAAAACTAGAAACCTTAGAAAGAAGGAAAATCTTATACACAGAGCATTTCCATCATAAGTTCTGTTCATCATAAGTTCAGGAAAAGGGCTTTTTCAACCTCCTCACACCCATAGACTTTTATAATTAGCCACCTTTAGCTCCTGACAGTTTACAGTTCATAACTAACAATCATCCTAAGGTGCGTTCTCAAAAAGATCTAGCAGGGATAGAAAGTTGGCACCATGGGCATGTTTTAAAAGGTGATCTAGAAAGCTAGTTGTAATATTTAAGGGCTCTATCATACTGTGCATTTTGCATTTTTCAAATCACATTTTGTTTTAAAATGAAAATGTGCTAGGCTTCCTAATTTGTTATATGCAATTATTCTCAAGCTTGAGTACATAAAGACTAGTTACTTTTTACATGGTATGAACACTGCAAAGATAATCATGATTTTCCTAAAGATCAACACAATTTTCCTGCAGAGTCTCATCATTTCTGTGTAATTCTGATGCATTATTCCTGTTTTAATATAGTTTCATAACCTAACAGTTTTGTATTGTTGCTACTTGTCATAAAATCTGTTCCAGTTTGATTTAATTATAAATTTTATTTATTCAATATTAACAAATACAGAGATTTTAGAATGGCATGCCAGATAATACCAAGTGGGATTCCCAATATATAGTAAAGTGTATCATAAAACAAAGCCTGTTTAAAATATTGCTTTGATCTTCTTCTATTTAATATGGGCAAATATTTTATACTGCAAGAAAACAAACCTAACTACAAACTACAATATTCTAATCAAAAAAGCATTTCTTGTCAGGTGCAAATAGCAGAAGCCTGATAACATCCAGCCTGATAACATGCCAGAAGTCTGGAAATATGAGCCAAGTAGTTGGAACATTTCGCTCATGCCTGGTGATTCATGTATCATCATCATGATCATCAACATCCACAGTATCCTCAGAAATCTGAGCAGCACTGTATAATAAAAATTAGAATCTGAAGAGGAACAGACTCCTCCCCTGCTTAGAAATACTAGGCCAGATATATAATATAGTTTTATTGAGTCCCTGATCATAGAACTGTAATGTTAGAAGTGGCCAGTACAGATTTTGGGTTCAACCTGCTGCTCAGTGCAAGACTCCACATTAAAGAAACAGATGGCTGTCCAACTATATGGGAGAGCCCACAAATTTCTTAAGTAATTGGTTTCACTGCCATACTACAGTGGAAGTTTTTCCTGATGTCCAGCCAAGATGTGGCTTCCTGTAACTTAAGCCCATTATTCTATGTCCTGCAGTCTGGGTTGATTGAGAAGTGATCTCTGTGTGACAGCCTTCAAGTACAGTAAAACCTTGGTTTGCAAACATAATTCGTTCCGGAAACATGCTTGTGATCCGAAGCACTTGTATATCACAGAAAATTTCCTCATAAGAAATAATCGAAACTCAGATTATTTGTTCCACAACCCAAAATATTCATATAAAATGATTACAATACTGTAATATAATGCAACGTAATAAAGACAATACAAAATATAAAGAAAAATAGAACAAATTAACCGGCACTTATCTTTGAAAACCTCCGTGGCTGGTATGAGGGAGACAAGAGAGAGGAGGGTTATTGTGTAGGACAACTTTCAGTATGACTAACAGAATCACTGCTATCTATTGGCTCAATGGGATCTTTTTCTTTTCATGCAACTTCAACAAGGAACCTATCCAATGACACTTGCTGTTGCCTCCTTTTGAGGATTTCACAGAAATGTGACATTGCATTGTTGTTAAGCAGATTCATCGCTCGCACTGCTAGACTTATTTGGGTGGTGTTTTTCTATAAAATTTTGCACTGTTTCCCACATTGTACACATCTCCCTAATCTCATTTGAAGTGAGGGATTCCTCTGCCTTTTTCTCCTCCTCCTCTGTAGATAAGATCTCCTCCATAACCTCTTGCATCTGCTTTACCTTTCAGTATCTCCCCGGGGGAAGGGGGGGGATACTGAAAGGTAAAGCAAATGCAAGATTCTAACCTTGTAGTACAACACACCATGTACTCCTCCCACACAAGCCTTGAAGTCCAGTTAAGACCTGACATGATTTTTAAACACATCTTCACAACAAAGCACCAAATATACACAGAATCATTGGAACAGTTAAGTAGAACCTGATTTAAGTTAGTCAGTGTCAGTATATAGCACTAAACAACCCAAGACTAATAAAAACAACCCCTTTGTCTTCAAAATGAGCATATGCCTTGCAGTAACCAACAAGGAAATGCTGTCAGCTTAAAGCTGCTTCAAGTGCAATCCTATGCATGTTTAGATAGGAAAACAGTTCTGTAATTCCCAGCGTATCCTCCCTTCTTGGAGGGATGCGGGGAGTTGTAGGACTGCAGAGAGAGAGAAGAACCATTGGCTCAGCTGTGATCATGTGACATTCGGCCTCAGGTACTACTCGTATTACAAGACATCGCTCGTTTATCAAGTCAAAATTTATTAGAAATGTTTGCTCGACTTGCAGAACACTGGCAGAACAAGTTACCCGCAATCCAAGGTTTTACTGTATTTGAAAAGTGCTATCGTATCTCCCCACAGTCTGCCCCAGGCTGAATGTGCCCAATCCTTTCAGTCTTTCTTTGCAGGACTTTGTTTCCAGTTCCCTGATAAGATTTGTTGCCCTCCTTTGATTTGTTTCCCAATTTCTCTGCATCTTTCTTGCCCAGAACTGGATACAGTCCTCATGATGAAGTCTCAGCTGCGCTAAGCAGAAGGAACTAGTACTTCACATGATCTGGAAGTGATACTTCTGTTAATGCAGCCCAAAATACCATTTTCTTGTTTTACAGCCATGTCACACTGTTGACTCATATTCAGCTTATGAGCAATGATTTCAAGATCCTTCTCACTTGCAGTATTGAGCCTCTTGTAACTCCACAAGTATTACATGGATACACTTTTCAGGGAGTCAGGATTCCTAGCTCTTCCCATTCAAGCAATACTTAGTGGCAAACCTGGGTTTATATAGGCCTTTTCCTTGGCAGAAACAGCGTGCTCACCACAGCAGTATACCCAATTTTGCCAAATCCTTTTTCCAAGCAGTAGAAATAAAGAAGCTTTCTTTAAGGGTGAAGACATTACACATTACAATGGGCACTGACCAATTGGTGTTCTTGACATCTCATATCCATTTTCTACACATTGCTCACACATGTGGTAGTGAAAAATTGCACATATTTGAACTGAGCAGTTTGCATGCTGAGAAAGAGCCATTTTTCCACAATAGCTGGGATATTTTCACCTGAGCAGTACTCAGCACACATTTGCACCAAAAATTATATTGTTGCAAGAAGCCATTGGTCTACCTACCAACCAAACATTCAGATCTGTAGTTCATCCCATTCATATCTTAAAACCCAAGGCTCTCATGCATTCCTTGTGAGCCTCGATAAGAGGACCACAGTTTTCTTCTCCTTTTTCGATGATGCTGCAAGACAAAGTTTCCCAATTAAGCGATTTCTCAAATTAGCGTTGATCAAACCTGAGGAAGATTTTACTTGGTGCCTCTGCATTCAGAGAGAAATGAAAACACCATACTGGATTCCACCTGTGCTCTCATATTCTTTTCCTTTTTGCCTCAGAAGGTGTGAATACAGTTGCCATTTGTGTCCTATTCAGGCTTGCCAATCTGGTAAGGCTAAAAACGAGAGATGCACACTGACTTGGTTTGGATGACACAACAACTCTTCAGGTTAATTGGCCCTTGGGTCACTGCAATACATCTAACATTCAGCCCAGTTTGGATGACAAGATAAGCCACAGGAACCCCTAGCTGGGGCTTACATATCCATAACGGCAATCAACACGTGCTGCAACACCTTGTGGGTAAATTACACTAGGGTATGTCATGTAAACTGGCCCATGATGGGTAATTCAATTCTGATCTGCAGATCTTTCAGGTTTTACTGAGGCTTTTATATGAAGGGAGAGATTGACACATGGGTAAAAGAAATATTTTGTCCTGCCTCCATCAGGCAAGTTTACAGCCTAATCTTTCTGCAAAGATTAGGGTTAGGTGGGCAATCTGAGCTCTATTGCCTAATTTTATGTGGCCCCAGTCTAATTTCAAAAGCCCTTTGCATGAAGTGTTATCTGAAGATAATTCTGAGACTTCACTAATTTTGCACCAGTTGCATTAGCTATCAGTGTATTTCAGGCTCAATTCAAAGTGCTTGTATTCACCTTTAGGATGAATGGATTAAGGAAAGTTTATCTAAATAACCACCTTGTATGGTTCTACTTGTATATTAAGATTAGCTTCAGAAGTTCAGTTTTTATGCTTACCAGTAAGATATATTAGGTTGGGAGGTATGAGGCTTTTCTCAGTGGTGACTCCCAGTGATTTGGGATGGTGCATAGTAAGTTTGTTACTAACAATGAATGTATACTAAATGGATATACAATAACTTGGTTCACATAGCAAACTGCTGACCATTTTGAGTTCTGTAACCCACAATGAGTTGCAGCAACTTGAGGCACCCTCTTGTAAACCTACTAGATACCATGGTTTATGCAAGGATTGTTTAACCCTTATATAAGCCATGGCAGCTGCATTCACATGACACAACACTGTAGGAATTTTTGTAGATGTAGGAATTTTCCCAATTCAAGCATGCATGAGATGTTCACTTGACCCTTTTTTCCTGAAACATTTCAGGTTCTGTGTAGGCTCGGTGAGCATCTTTGTTGCTATATTATGTTCTAGCTACAAGTTCTGATACAGGGGAAGGGCAGCCTCACACAGAGCACATTATATTACATAATCATGAAGTTATGAATGCATGGATGACTGTAGCTAGAGTAGCCCAATCCAGGAATGGGTGTAGCTGGCATACCAGCCAAAGCTATAAGGTCACCACCGAGGTCACCTAGGCCTCCTGTGACAGAGGTAAATTCAGGAGCACTCCCAAATTATATACACCAGCTCCTTCAGAGGGTGTACAACCCCATCCAGAACCATCAAACAGCTAAATTCCTGGACTGAAGAACTCCCAATCTACAGTGAAGTTTGTTTACGATGTTGTCCAAACCAGGGCACCTTGGCTGAAACAGGACAAAATAAAACAAACAAACATCCCCACTAGAACAATCTCTGATTGAGCTTCTAGTGTGCAAGAAGACTAACAAGACAGAGTTCATTGTTTGGATGATACACTGAACCAACCTTTTCTGGTTTGTTCAGTAGTGGGGAATAGCAAAATGGGAGCAAACACATACACAGGCATGCATAAGCTCATTCATAAGCTGCAACTCTCCAGAAACCTGGCTTATTTTCTGTGAAATTGAGTTGTCCTGTCTTACAGGATTTACTGGCATTCCAATAAAATAATTTGAGTAAAACTTTAAATTTCTTTGAATATATCATTTCAACTACGTTAACAGCACAATCTTAAATGTTTATTCAGAAGCAGATCTCAATGGAGCTCAGTGGGGCTTCTTCCTAGGCATAAAAATGCAACTGAAAAAAACCCATTACTACTACTGCTGCTGCTTTTCAAAACCCAATGTTTCAGTTGAACTACATTTAGCTACTGGAAAAAACTTTAGGAGATATTGTTCAGGCCTGTAAAATAGCATGAATACTTTCTAAAGTTTTGTTTACTAATTAAGGCAAGCAAGTGAAATCAAAGTCCCATCAATGTAGGCCAGCCTTCCCTGGGCTGCCTGACTGGAGGGGCACCAGTTTGGGGAAGGGATGAAAATATTTGATTCAAAGTGTTAAGAAAGTCTTATGTCTTTTCCAGGGCAGGTGTAAAGCAGCTGGAAAGAGATTTTTGGAAAGTGTCAGGGGAGGATGTGAGTTAAAAAGAAAGAAGCTGCCTTCCCCTGCACCAGCATCCCCCTTAAAATTCATGTTTTACATGTGTGTGCCTATTCTGTGACTTCTCCTCTAAAAATTATACCTTTGTAGTTCATTTTTCTAAGTTGTTCTGCTTCTTGACATACCAGAATTGGTATGTAATGCAAAGATGATAGGTAGTTATATAGACTACATGTGATCTCCTGGTAACAGAATTGGTAGAAACTGGAGACATTTTATCCAGCAGTTAAAGACAAAATTTCAATTGTGTCTCCTTTAATCCAGATACTTTTATTAAAATAAATGTATGATGCTCAGAAATTTTCCATAAGCAACCAATTAATTGGAACACAGCAAAGAGAAGAGATAAGGGCATTATGAAGCTAGCACACAGGACAAGTTGCCCTAAACATTATGAAAGAGGAAGAACTCAGATGCCACAAAACATTCTTTAGCACTGAGAATGCCCTAAGTTTCTAGGCTGTTGTTTTTTAAATAATGGAGTATGTAGAAGCCTCATTCTGCTCCAAATCATATGAAGTCAAATGTACCAGGAAAGACATGTAAATTTTCTCTCCACCCTGGGGCAGAAATGTGAGCGCCCAACAGAAAACAGAAAAATTCCAACACATTTTTAGGGGGCTCATCAAATACTACCCCCCTCCACACATATGAGAGGAGCCTCTGCTCTTTCTAATTCATGTTTTATTTCATGTAGGACTTTAGACTATAATGCAAAAGATGAAAAACAATCTGAAAACCCCAATGTAGAGAAGCAAAAATCTTTACCAATTGAAGAGTCAAGCCTATTCAAATGTAAAAATTTCCTTTCCAAAATTCCATGATGAAAGACCATTATGGTCCAACGTACATCGGGTGTATATAAAAGGAGCATCTGAGCCTCTTTAGTTAAGATGAAAGACAAGAAAGAGGGTTCCACCATTATAACCCTCAAAATTCAGTTGGTTATAGAAATGCCACCTATTAATCTATAAGTTGAAACTTGGAAGCCATAATCTACCTCATAAGGTCTGTATCTGTGCAATATACACACACGTATGTGGTGGCTATATATTCTTGTTTACCTCTTTTAGTTCTGCTTGCAACACCAAGTAGGAAGTACGCCACACTTAATGCAAACAGTTTTATTTCTGAGCAAACATACACTGGATTGTGCTGCTAACCCTGTTGAATAGATAAACGTTGAAAAGCAGATCTATTAGGCATCTGCATCGCACCAGGTCCGAGAAGAGACTTGAGGGTGAAAGTCTAGTATACACCCAAGCAATGTCTGCAGATCGAGCGACTAGGAGGCAGAGAAAGGACGGGCACTTCCTCATGCCTGTCCACCTAGCTCGCCCCACCAGAGACCCACACAAAAAGCTGGCAAGGACGTAAAGGAGGATATCCGGGGTCCGAAGACGCCTTGCGGAAACCCACGAAAAACCCGCCGCTCACTCGCTCGCCCGCCCGCCCTCACACGCCGGAAGCTATGCCTGTCCGTGCCCGCGAGTTCAGCAGGGCGGCGACGACAGCGGCAGGCCCTGCGCGGCCCTCTCCCCGCACTACCCACCAAGCATCGCGTGCCCGCTTCGTCTCGGGACAGGCGCAGCACGGCTTCAAGGCAGGCGGCGACTTCGGCTCCGCCTGACCAGGATCCGGACGATCCGGAGTGTCGCAGGAAGCCAGACCCGCCATAGCTTCCACTCGCGCATGCGCAAGGCTGACTCCTCCCGGTCCCTTCCGGAAAAACGACTTCGCTGCGGGGTCTCGCCCCGCCCCCGCCAGCCGCGCTTATGAGGTATAAAGCCTGCGACAGCCATTGTGCCATGGGCCGCTTTCCTCAACCTGGCGCCCTCTACATCTTTTAGGCCAGTGGACGGGAAAGCTGCGCGCTGAAATCCAAAATATCTGGTGGATTCCAGGTTGGAAAAGATTGCCATAAAGCGTGTGAAAAGAGTGCGACTATATTACCAACTCTAGCGATGGAAATACATTATTTTTATGAGACAACGCTTTTTGTTTCGAGTTTAATTAAGAAGAGAGACAGAATTCGATGGCGTATGAACTCAAGATTCCGCTCAGCAACTAGACGTGGTTAAATGCTGCAGCAGTTGAAGTTTGCCCCGCTTTTCAAGGGCAGTCCTGGGCAGTCCTTTTAGTTCCAATTGGTCATGAAGCTCACAGGGTTACTTTGAGCCAGTCACTCACTCAGTCTAACAGGGTTGTGAAGAAAAATAGAGCTCTGTAAGCTGTATTGGATTCCTCGCAAGAGAAAAAAGGGCAGGATAAAAATGCAATGTAATTATAAGGTTGTTTTTAAGAAACAGCCAGATAAAGTGAAGAAAAGCAAAACAGCAATATTTATTAAGAGTACAGCATGTATGGCTGTTGACATATTACACGTGTAAGATAGAACACCTTAGAACTATACAGTACCTAACCAGAACAATGCTTTTATAGTTAGCCTCATCCTCTGACAATTTTCTCATAGGATCCCTCCCTTCCCCAGGCTGGGAATTTTCCTCCCTCCTTTCATCTAAGGATAGCCCTTTCAAAATGCAGTTCAAACGCTCATCCTTGGCCTAGTTCCTTCATGTTCTCTCTTATCTAGGAGCAGTTCTCCTACAGCTACACATAAGTTTTCTCTTTAACCCAGTATTTGTAAGAACAAAGGAGACACCATCTTTTCCAACAGTAACAAACTTCATGCTCTGCCAGTGTATTTAAGACTACCCCCACAAATCACCTACAATCTTAATGGTTGCTATGCCACCTCTAGTTGTCCTCTATTGTTTGATTTTATTGCTGGTGATGAATATAACATACCCAGGGAGTGAGGCAAAGTCTGATGAGATAACCCAAGTTCCTTGAATAAAAATAATTTGCAACTGAGCAGAAAAATCTTTAAAATTCTCATCAGCTAGTTTGGAGACCCATCCTGTTACATTCCAGGACAAGATCTTAATTTCTAAAAGTTTATTTGGAAAGGAGAAAGGGGTAGTCAGTCCATCCCTACTTTATTTGATGTATCATCCACAGGTTTAAGTGTTATTTTTCCAACCCCTTGAACAAAAGTGCCTTCACTTCTATGGCTCCCTTCATTCATACAATGTTTATCAAGAGCCATCAGATGTGAATAATATATTAAGTCCAGGCCTACCACGTGTTCATCAACAAGTAGACACATTTGGGCTGCATTTGATCTATACAGGGCCTTAGGTGGAGCAGAGACCTTATTTCTTATCACAGGCATAGAAGCTGAGAGTGATAAATTAACACTATGTAATAATTCTGAAAATAACCCAACAATACAAGATCCAGGTCTTTTATAGAAGATTTAAAAGTATCTATAGGTTTTGAGGCAGGGAACAATTCAGTGGAATCTAAATAGAAATCTAAATTTACTAATGTATTTTGATCACTAAAAATTACGTTTATTTCTCTGTTCCTCTAATAGAGCTAGTCCCCTGTCTAAGATTCTTTCTTCTTCATCAAATATGAATTTCCCACATTCTAGGAGATCATGAGATACATAAGTGTTTGTTGCTGGAGACTCCATACGCTGGAGGAATCTATCCATTAAGAGGGGCTTTTTTTAATGTGGATACTGTAATTTCATTAGGACTAACTGTTGTTCCTGAACTGGAGGGCCACTAAAGCTTTTTAGTACCTTTTGTTCAGGCAAAAGGAATTTCTCATCGGGTCAATCATCTTTATGGGAGAAAACATCACTTTCCTTTCTGCCCTATTGGCTCAACTACACATGGTTTGAAGTTTTCTCTGCCCTGAATCATTAACATTTTATCCAAGGTCCAGGAAGACAGTAAAAACTCTCCTTCTAGAAATGGGGTATTTACCTTCTGGTGGGTTATATGGTCTTTTCTGTTCAAATTTAATTTATTGAAGCAGCCATGGATCTGGGAGTCTTCCGGACTAATGACTTTCCCAACTCTACAATCGTTACAGATAGGATCAACATACTTGCAAATTCATACAGTTCAAATTCTTGTAAACATTTTTTGCCATGTTTCATCGCCAAACAGATTTTTTAAAAGTCATTTTTTAATGATGTATTTTCTTTGCAACCTGCCATAACCTAAAGGTCACCACAGGGTGTGCATGATGATAACCATAAAACAAATAATCAGTATTTGTTTGTATATGAGGGGTTACTTCAGCAATTACTTGTAGGAAGTGAGTTTTGCATTCTGACTGTAGGAGCACACCTTTAGACTTGGGAAAGTTCAAAAAGACTAACTTCTGGCAATTTAAAATCAGGTCCAACTTTAGGGATGCATTGGGCTTGCTTAATTCTTGCATGCACTAAGTTTGGTTTTGACATCATTAAATTAGCTTCAGCAGTGAGGGCATATTGCCAAGGGTCTTGAATTATATCTTGTGGTATGATGCGAAAGTGGAGACTTTTAACTCACCAAGCCCATGCAGGGGAGACTCAACCCCACCTAGAGGTGGAGAGACATAGAAACACAGCCAGTCAGAAGGAGCCTCCCGGGCCATCTAGTCTGACCTCCAGCTCTGGCCGACTCCGCTCACAGGTTGCCTAGCATGTGCAATGAAGGATGAAATTTCATTTCATCAGATAGCAATACCTCTGGTATCCTACTTTGCTGCTGTGAAAATTTTGCTTATTTCTTTCAGGAGTCATCTAATAGGTTAAAAACCTTAGAAAAAAGTTACTTATATGACAGAGTTTTTAAATTATTCTTAAAAGTTTTTTTAAAGAATTTTTTACTCTGTTTTTGCAGCTTTCCATTTTGACAGGTTTTCCTTCCCTTGCTAGGCCATTAACTTGCTGCACTTCTTTTCTGGCTTACATCAAGGCCTAACATTATGAGTGCAAAATCACTGGATTCTCAGTTTAAAGTTGTAAATTTAAGCCACAGTAGTTAGCAAACGATTACATTCTTCCAGAATTTTTTCTTATTAATGCTGGAGTTAGCCCTTCTGGATTTATAACCTGAAAAATTTCAGAGTTTTCAGCCAAGGCAGTTTCCATTGCTAAGTAAATTTCCCTTTCTGTAGTCAAATTAGGTTATTGTTCCAGGTGAAATGATCCACTGAGCAGTCCAGAGCACAGGTGCAAGTACTAGATACTGCACTTTCCTTTGCCTTTCTTAGTGCAGAATAAAATGAGATTTTTGTTTGTTTTGTTCTACTTTTCCTCTGTGTCAGCTCAAATACTGGAAGGGATAAAATCTCTTGGCTCTTAAATTCCTGTCTTGTGAGGACCATTTTAATAAACTCAATGAAGAAACTAAACTGTAAAAGAATGAAAAGTCTATTAAACTGAATTAAACCATAAATAAATTGAACTATAGCAAAAACCCAAACAAACCCTAACAAACCCAAATCAACATGATTTTTTCTCATAATAACTCTCTCACACAGTAATATTTATACACTCATACTCATAAACACATTCCCCATATATAAAAAGGAAAAAAGCCCCTACTCTGCAAAAAAAGTATCAGTCTATCAGGTAAGGGACCAGGGTGGCTCCAGCATGCTCTGATGTGCAGAGAATCCACTGGAGAGAAGTGGGAAAGATGGTGTGGAGGTAGCAGAGAAAAGTTTTAAATAGAAGTGCAAATTCCCTCAAGAGAGAGCTTGACATGGACAAGATGATGATGGTGGGTTCAGATTCAAGCTAGACCTTGTTCCTGGTCTTTTGTTTGCACAATGCACTGCTGGGTGGCAGCCTTGGTGGCGGCTTCAAAAACTTAGACTTGACTGAGCTGCTGCACATCATAAATGTTCCAGCTGCTAGTAATGGTATCAGTAATGCTGCATTGTTGACTGGGGTGGGACACTCTTAAGAACCAGCAGAAAACGAAGGAAGATGCTGGTCATTTACTGCTCAGGAGAAGCTGCTTCTGACAGAGAAATCTTTATACTTCTTTTAAGGTGATTCTTAACCAAAGTGGTTCCTGCTGAAGTTTTTGTACCACACTATTCTTGGAGCTGTTCTATTGACATGACTGCACTTCAAAGTTGTTGGAGATTTGGGGACCCTTAAGATGGTACAGAAATGCTCAAGGAAGTACCAAGTCTGAAGTTCAGCCTTCACCCATGTCCCAAAAAGCTGGAGGAAAGAAGGGAAGATGTAGTGATAATTATATGTGCTAAAATAGAATCAGATAATCAGCTTCATTCAAGTGTCTGGGGTTGGTTGGCCAACAATTACTCAAGGACCTTGCCTAGGAAGAGAGCATTCACCAGTAGTCTAAAATTGCTTCTGTTTGCTGCTCGGTGGAGCTCTTTAGGGTCATCTGGGGCATTTTACATAGTGGTACAAAGCATATCAGACCATCTGAAGCCTAACTCGTGTGAGGTTGTTGGGCTTCTGGAACAGATTGGGCAGTGTAGAAATAAATTAAAAAATGCAGCCATGCCCACCCACACACACATGAGAAGTATTATGGCAAATTTTATTTGAAATTTAAACACTTAAACACACACTGGTTACAAAGGCATTGCTTTTAGTAAGGGGAGTTGCCTAAAATAAAAGCTGAACTAGAAGAACAAGAAGTCTTGTCTGCTGCCCCTTATTTGGGTAGATGTGCCACTCTCCCTGTTACAAGTAGGCTAAAAATCTGGATGTCTCAATTATTAATCACTCGTCCACAACGACAGAGTCTAAAACGAAGTGTAAAGCCCCTTCTGCAGGCAAGTGATTACCTTCATCTCTATAGCTAAATGTTGAGCATTTCTGTGACGTCACTCGTAAGCCAAACACATAAAAAGGCGGTGGACCCAAGAGGCTCGTTCTGTGCGAGAACAGCATTGTGTGTGACATCTTTGTGTCTCTGTTTCTACAAGGGCTATAGACTTGCTTTAAAAAAAGAAAACTGAGAATCTGGGCTACCTCGTGGCCCCCTTGAGATTGAAGGTAGGGATGAGGCTGTAGCCCCCTTATTATTCATTAGTTGTATTTATGTGCCACCCACTCAGAGGCTCTTTGAGCGGCTTACAATAAAGCACTTAAACAATTTCAACCCGGAGCAAAGCAGCACGTACCACGCCAAGTATCTCAGAAGCTAAACCATCTGCCGCCGGCCTAATCGACTCTTCCCATTTCTAGTCTATGACGTCGGGCGGCCCGCCCATTCCTTCCTGGACTCCGCTGTTGCCATGGGAACAGCATCAGCTCAGACGCGTCGAGAAGCGGTGGAAGCCGAAACGGCGCCGAGATGAGCCGCTCGGTAACGGTGGCGCGGCCGCCGGCTCCCTCCGGGGCCCGGTATCGCAGGGCCATGGCCCCCAACCGGGCCTTCGATTTCCTCTACGGTAACTTGTTGGAGAGCCGCGAGAGGGGCTGGGCTGCCTGGCGGGGTGCAGAGGGTTCTGGCTTGATAACAGATGGCGGCAGGACGGAGGGAGGGAGGGAGGGAGGGAGATGATATGACATTTCTCCCCTCCGAATAAGATCTTAGAGACATTTTGATTTCTCCATTGTTTATTACTAACAGTTCTCATTTCCGGACAGGAGTGGGAAAAACCTAGAAAGTTAAAAGCGAACTCAGAAGGTTAGACACCGAATGTCCACAAACGAATCCATACTTATATGATCCTAATGGGCACCAGCTACTTCCTGTCTACCTTGAATGGGTTTTTTCCATACGCTTAAAAAAGCTGAACAGGTGCCACTCAACTTCCAGGTTATGCCCAATGTCGTGTGTGTGTGTGTGTGTGTGTCCCCTTCCGGGGGACGGAGTGAAACAATCGAGGAACCCTCGATTTTAGCTAGATTGTGATTGGGCAGTAGCGTGCCTCCTTGTCCCTATCAAAACACAAAGGGCACACACAAGGGAAGTAACTTGGAGATCCGCCAGGAGAGGGCGGGCTGCCGAAGGTGCGCTGTCCACCTTGCCCATTGCCCGCTCCTCACGCCGCCGCCACAACCAGCCCGACCGCACGCGTTGATGCCTGTCCCGAGTGTTGTCCTTTTCGGTCCCGTGCTGGACACATCGCTTTAGGAGCACCTGCCAACTCACGGTTAGCCCGCATTAATAGCCGACTGGCAGATGCTCCTGAGCAGAGGTGTCTTGGCAAGGTGATCTCCTGGGACACCTCCCCAGTTGCCACAGTGGGTGAGTCTGAGGAAAGATGATGATGATGATGATGATGATTTCATTTCTATGCCGCCCCTTGCCGAAGCCTCGGGGCGGCTTACAACACAATAAGATACATTGAAATAAAATAGAACATAATAAATTACCACTAAATACAAAAATACAAAAAATACACTGAGATACAATAATATAAAATTAAAATTAACAGTATAAAATAAGTAAATAAAGAATATAGGAGGAGAAAAGAGAGGGAAGAAGAAGTTGCCCTGGCCAGATCATATATTTTAACAATTAAAATGATGTTTAAATAAAAAGGTCTTTACCTGGCGCCGAAAAACCAGTAACGACGGTGCCAGGCGGACCTCTTTGGGGAGTGAATTCCATAGGTTGGGTGCCACCGCAGAGAAAGCCCTCCTCCGAGTACTTACTCTCCTAATTTCTTTCATGGAGGGTTCCCGGAGAAGGGACTCTCCCGCAGATCTCAAGGGGCGGTCAGGCATATACGGACGTAAGCGCTCGTTCAGGTAGCCAGGACCCAAGCCGTTTAGGGCTTTATAGGTCATAATCAACACCTTGAATTGGGCCCTGGCTTCAATGGGAAGCCAGTGAAGCTGACGGAGGACTGGAGTCATGTGAGCATAACGCCCCGTCCCCGTCAGCAACCAGGCAGCTCTATTTTGCACCAATTGAAGTGTTCGGACCGTCTTCAGGGGAAGCCCTACATAAAGCGCGTTACAGAAGTCTAGGCGGGAAGTCACCAGCGCGTGTGTCACCGTCGCCAGGCAGTCGTACTCCAGGTAGGGGCGCAGCTGATTAATCAGCCAAAGCTGAAGGAAGGCGCTCCTCGCCACCGCTGTCACCTGAGCTTCCAAAGAAAGCTCCAGGTCGAGGAGTACTCCTAAGCTGCGGACCTTGTCCCTAAGAGGGAGCGTTGCACCATTCAGGACCAGGTCAAATCCACCCTCTCCGAAGCTCGATCCGCCAACTAACAGGACCGCCGTCTTGTCTGGATTGAGTTTCAGTTTATTGGCCCTCATCCATTCCATTACCTCGGCCAAGCACTGGTTCAGCACAGCCACTGCCTCACCTGGATTAGTGGAAAACGAGAGGTAGAGCTGGGTATCATCAGCGTATTGATGATTCCGCAGCCCACACCTCCTGATGACCTCTCCCAGCAGTTTCATATAGATGTTAAATAGCAGAGGGGATAGAATGGAACCCTGTGGTACTCCATGGCATAGCTGCCATGGCGCAGAGACATAGTCCCCCAGCACTACCTTCTGGAATCGACCGTTGAGATAGGAACAGAACCACTGCAAAGCAGTGCCTCCAACCCCCAATCCCGCTAGCCTATCCAGAAGGATACCATGGTCGATGGTATCGAAAGCCACCGAGAGGTCCAGAAGAACCAACAGGGATGCACTCCCCCTGTCCTTCTCCCTGCACAGGTCATCGTACAGGGCGACCAAGGCAGATTCAGTACTGTACCCGGGTCTGAAGCCGGACTGAAAAGGATCCAGATAATCAGTTTCATCCAAGAGTGCTTGGAGTTGTCCCGCCACCACTCGCTCCAACACCTTGCCCAGAAACAGGATGTTGGCCACAGGTCTATAGTTAGTGGCCATCTCTGGATCCAGTGACGCTTTCTTCAGGACTGGTCGTATTACTGCCTCCTTTAAAGGGGCAGGCACTTGACCCTCCCTCAGAGAAGCGTTAACCACTTCCAAGATCCAGGTCCCAATCCCGTGCTTGGAGTTATTTATTAACCAAGACGGGCAAGGATCCAATAGGCAAGTGGTGGGACGTACTTGTCCAAGCACCTTGTCCACATCATTGGGCCGCAATAACTGAAATTCATCCAATAATTCTGGACCAGACGGCAGCATTGGCGTCTCCCCAGAGACCTCTGATTCATTAGTGGAGTCCAGCTCGTGACGAATCTGAGCGATTTTCTCCCTGAAATGCCTGGCAAAGTCGTCACAGCGGGCCTTTGAGGGTGGCATCGGATCTTCCTTAGGACCCGGGCGAACCAGGCCTTGTACCACTCGAAAAAGCTCCGCCGGACGGCATTGTGAGGAGGCAATGGAAGCGGAAAAAAACTTCTTTTTCGCTGTCTTCACCGCCACAGCATAGGCCCGATAGTGGGCTCTCAAGTGTGTTCGGTCAGATTCATCCCGTGATTTCCTCCACCTACGCTCTAGTCGTCTCCCAACCCGCTTCATCGCCCGCAATTCAGGTGTATACCAAGGTGCCATCAGAGTTGGGCATTTGAGGCTGGCCAGCTCCACAGTCTCTCATTGTCAAAAATTGTGGGGTTTACTTAATTTTGTTAACATTTTAAAGTGGCTTTATGACGTGCTTCTTGCATCTACTAGAAGAAATAAAAGAGTGTTCAGTAATCCTTATATTACTCTGGATGGATTGGGAATGGAGATAGAATACCATCCAACAAACCTGCAATGAAGTTCTGTGGAGTTATTCTTGTATTGCTGGTTGGGGATAAAACTTGATGAATTACACAACCATTACATTCCCTATATTGTAGGTGGTAGGGGGTAACATGGCAGAGAGGCAGAAATTCTTTTCTTCTTTTCTTTTCTTTTCTTTTCTTTTCTTTTCTTTTCTTTTCTTTTCCTTCCTTCCTTCCTTCCTTCCTTCCTTCCTTCCTTCCTTTCTTTCTTTCTTTCTTTCTTTCTTTCCTACAGAGTGAGTCAGAAGGCCTCCAGGGCCATCTAGTCTGACCCCTGGCTCCAGCCAGCTCCACTCATGACATGCCTACCATGTGCATATCCAGCCAATCCTTGAACACCCTCATCGATGGGGCTTCAACCACCTCCTGTGGAAGCCCATTCCATACCCTAGGGGTCCTAACAGTCAGGAAGCACTTCCTGGCATTCAAACTGAACCTTGGTTTCCTGGGCTTTGCTCCATTGGAACTCATCCTGCTCTCATCCCCCTGAGAAAAAAGGTCACAACCCACCTCCATGTGACACCCCCTCACATACCTATATGTTGCTAGGTATTTTATGGTCCCCTCTGAATATCCTCTTCTCAAAACCAGTTCCCTCAGGCTCTCCTCATATGGCTTACCCTGCAAAACAGCCACCATCCCTGTGGCCCTTTGCTGCACTGACTCTAACCTGGCTATATCCTTTCTGTAATGAGGGGCCCAGAACTGAACACAATACTCCAGTTGTGGGTGCACCAGAGTCATATAGAGTGATAGTAATACCTCTGAATCTAGAAGCCATGCTTCTGGCTATACATCCAAGGTTGGCGTTCGCCCTCTTGACCACCGTGTCACACTGCTGACTCATGTTTAGCCTGCAGTCAACCAGTACCTCGAGATCCCTTTCACAAGTGCTGCTCTTCAGCCACTTGTCCCCTAACTTGTACTTATGACACCCATTCCTATGCCCCAAGGACAAGACCTTGCACTTATCCACATTGAATGCCATCCTGTTCTCTCCTGCCCACTTTCATAGTCTGTCCAGATTCTTTTGGATCTGGAGTACCTGCTCCTCAGTTGTGGCCACTGCCCCTGTTTTAGTGTCGTCTGTGAATTTGATCAGCAGACTGTTCACCCCTTCTTCTATGTCATTGATGAAAAGATTGAACAGGATCAGCCCCAGGACAGAGCCCTTGGGGACCTGGCTTGTCACTGGCTGCCATCCTGATGATTCCCCACTGATGGTTACCCTCTCCTTTTGGTCCGTCAACCATGCCCTAATCTATTGGATAGTGCATTGGTCTATCTCAGAACTCCTCAATTTCTCAACCAGGATATCATGGGGCACTTTGTCAAAGGCCTTGCTGAAATCCAGGTAAACCACATCCATCTAGTCACCTTGAAACCTTCTCATCGAATTCCACAAGATTTGTCTGGCAGGACCTGTTTTTGTGGAAGCCATGTTGTGTGGCTGCCAGCCCCCCTTCCTTATCTAGCATCACTAGATCTCTCGCTATTATGAACTTTTCCATTGTTTGTTCTACAATGGGCCTAAGGCTAACTGGTCTGTAATTCCCCATGTCCCTTCTACTACCCTTTTTGAAAATTGGGACCACTGTCGCCACCCTCCAGTCCTCTGGAACTTCACCCGTTCTCCAGGAGGTCTCAAAAATGGAGGCCAGTGGGTGTGAGAGAACCCCTGCCAACTCTCGAAGTACTCGTGGGTGAAACCCGTCAGGGCCCAGCGCCTATGTAACATCCAGTGCCCTGATGAGCTTCTCAACGTCTATGGGGGGTGACTCTAATCTGTGTCCCTAAGTCCCCAGCCTCATCGACTCTCCCATGCAGATCTCCTCCACCCTGTTTGGGGGAGAACACAGAGACAAAATAGTTATTTAGCATCTGTGCCTGTTCCCTCACATCAGTCACTGGATCCCCTTCCTCCTTTCCACTGCCTGTCTCCCCTTCCTCTTGCTATTTACATGTTGATAGAAGCGCTTTTTGTTGCTCCTGATATTCTTGGCAAGTCTCAGCTCATAACCAGCCTTAGCCTTGTGAAGAATCCTTCTGCAATGGGTCTCCTCCTCCCAGTATACCTGTTCGTCTACCTTCCCCAGCGCCCATTTCATATGGAGGTTCCTTTTACACCTAATGCCTCTTACCACTTCTCATCCACTGTGGTGCTCTTCTTCGCTTCCCCATGTGGCTAACTAGCAGTATTGTCAAGGCTTGCACCTCCAAGACCTCCATTTTAGTGCCATCAACTCCTCTTGAACTCCCTTGCCTTCCAGTAACCTATCCCAGGAGACTTTCCTCAGTCTGGCCTTCAGTTGGCCAAAGTTGGTCTTCATGAAATCCCAGCTCCTAATACTTGACCTGCCACTCATCCCATTCCCCTGATCTCAAAGCAAATGATGGAGTGATACTTGCATCCAAAACTCCCATAATCTGCACCCCATCTATCAGCTCCTCCCTGTTGGTCAAGACCAAGTCAAGGATATTTCCTCCCCTCGTCGCCTCCCAGACCCTCTGCGTGAAAAACCTTCCCTCTAGAGCATCTAGGAAATGAGGTGACCTGGCTGTTGTCGCCAAGTCATTCTCCCAATTAATAACTAGGAGATAGAAATCTCCCACAATTACCATGTCCTTCCTCTGAGATACCCTGTGAATCTGGTCTGTCAAGGCATCGTCCAGAGTCTCAAGTTGACTTGGAGGGCAATAACATACCCCCACTGTCAGGTCCCTCTCCCTGTTGAAACCCTTTAGTTTCACCCAGACCACCTATACCAGATCCCCATCTGCACCACAATCTATCTTGTTGCATCCTATCCCTTCCCTGACATATAATGCTATGTCCCCTCTTTCCTTCCTGTCCTTTCTAAACAGGTCATATCCCTCTGTGTTTACATTCCAATCTTGCCTTTCATCCCTCCAAGTTTTTTCTCTGCCAGGTCATACCCTCTATTCCCAGGAGAGCCTCAAGCTCTCCTGCCTATTACCCATGCTCCTAGCATTGGAATACATGCATCTCAGCTTCCCACGGCTTCCTTTCTTCGGGTCCCCTGGCCTCCTCCTTCCTCACATTTTCCCTGATACTGGCAAGATAATTCAAGATAATTCTATTATTCAGGGCAAAGTTATTGTCCCAATATTGAAGACTGAAGTGGGAATTAACAACCACTCTATATCGCCATAGTTCAAATGGGGACTGTGATTGATGGTAGCTTGCAATAAGTTTCTAGACTTTGAAAACCATCATTTACTGAACTTGTATTGATAAGTTACAGCATCACAGGCAGAGCATCACTGAAATAATTGCTGTTTTTCAGGATACAACACATGCTGTACCTATATAGACAAACTATAAAATAATTACAAAGCAAGATTACAGCTATCACGGGTGAAATTATTCTGTTAATACTGTCCATGCTGTCATTTGTTCATTTAGTGCCGTTACAAACTGCTGAAAGAGAGGACTTTGCACTGAATGGCTTACAACCTTTAATTTGATACATGTTGAAATCAGCTGCATATTGCTGCATTTGCTTGCATGCAGACATGTTACCCCTTTACCACCTTATGTGCTGGTATATAAGATGGAAATTCTAAATCAGACTGGAAGCTAAGGGGTGACTGATGTCACCCCAGCCATTTCAAATTTTTGTTGTGCCCCTGAGTAGTACACCTACAGCTGGGCTGTATGTTTCAAGTGTGGACTGTTTTATTAGATACATGAGGAGCTCATACCTTGTTTCTATGCAGCAACATACTTCCAGAAGACTTCAGGAAATGTATTTTTGCTTGGAAACACTCCTCACATGGCCTTTTTTCTTGTTAAATGTAATTTTTGCAGCCATGGCAGTAAATCCAGCAGTGGTGCAGGACATGATAGGAGCTGTAAAACAGCAGGCATGCCCTGGCTACATGTTGTTCACCCATGTGTGAAGTGAGTGCTTTCCTCACTGGTACAAGAATGTGGTGGTAGCTCTCTTGTAACAGTGGCGATACTGTTGGAAAGCTGAGAACAAGACAAACAGGAAGCTCTCTATAATCTTCTACAAAGAAAAGCTAGTATGTCAAAAAGAAGTGTAGTGCTTCTACAGTGGTTCTGCCTGCCATGCTGAGTTTCTGTGTTATGGGTCTTTTCCTCCTATGGGGGAACATACCATCATCAGACTCTTCACCTACCTTCTAGAGTGGTTCAGTCCACAAAAAGGTTACATCCTAGATGAGAACTAAGCCAGCTGATATGCATGTGTATTCATTTATTTATTTTATGTAATAAAATACATAAATGCATATGTATTTTATTCACTGCACATCCCTTTTGGTTCAGTCCATCTCAAGCCAGCTGTGCAATTAATTCCAGTTCAACCCACTGCTGCATGCATATTGGTACTGAGGCAATTTTCATCCCCTCATTGCTCCTGCATGTTTCATTCTCCTGGGAGGTCAGGTTTGCAAGTTTGCACATGACATTTAATATAGATCATGAAATAGGACTTCCTGTTGCTTTTTATCCTGTATTAACATCCATACATAGCACAAAAAACATAAAGGAGGACACTGGCTTTGTCTAGGCCTCACCTTGACAGGAAACCCAACTAAGTGTGAGAGTATTAATCAAAACCTATTATACATACAGGGCCAGATCACCATTCCCATGCTCTGCCCCTTGCTTGACTTTGGAATACTGCTTCCAAAATGCTGCCTCCTAAAATGTATTTCTGCATAATTAAAAAAGATAAAGGAAAATAAATTATGATTTTTTCCTTTATAGCTATTGTTTTTCTAATATGCAAAAGTATACTATTCTAATCAAAGAACTGAATATCAGTGCAATCCTATCCATATATACTCAGAAGATAAGCCCCACTGTGACTGTCTAGGAAATGTGTTCAAAATTGCAGTTTAAACATGTTTATGCATAGTGAATGAAGATTTATTTAAATAGGTACCCAATCTAACTGTTATAGTCCTCTCACAGTGATTCATTTTTCAATTATTCCATAAGAATTGTGAAAACGGGAAGGAAAACCACATTGCATTTCTTATTGTACCTGTCACATGGGAAGATACTAGTCTGAAATAGATTTGATTTGCTATAACCTCTAAATCCCTATGGTTGGTATGGCAAAGTTTCATCTGCAAGCATAATTTGAATTTATTTACAAACTCTGTGATAATGCATGCTTTGATCTGTGTTTGGTTTTGCCAATTGTCACTGCAGAAATTGGTCCAATACGAAAGAATAATTTGCCTTCTAGCAGCTTAATCACGATTATGATACAAACACTGGCATGGAATTGTCTCCAGGAATGTTGTCAGTCTTCATTTTATGGACTTTAAAGTGCTGAACAGCGTCCTGTTGATTTGTAATTTTCTTTGCTAGGTTTAATTTATATCTACTAATTAGACAATAAATTAGCACAAGTTTAAACAGAGTTCTGTAGTCTATTGATCCCTCCCAAAATTTATGAACATATTTCCATTTGTTTATGATACTGAATTTATTCATTTTTTAAATATTTCATTTATTTTAGATCCATTATATACACTATCAAGTGAGAGAGACCATGCACAGGCAACTATCCAGGCGCATCTAATGCACGATGAAATGGTAAATGAATATAGTCTGAGATGGTTGTTACAGAACATTTCTTTTGCACTCTTGTTTAAAAAAACTACTTGATGTGGCTTGGAGTTAAAGAAATAGACTTAAAAGATAGGTCATCATTTATGCATTATGTAATATATATATGGCACTAATACCTATCCTTCTGCCAACTTATTTATTTATTTCTATACCATCCCATAATCCAAGGGTTATCTGGGAAGCATTTAAAATTAATGCTGATGAGAAAATTCTGTATGGCAGAAGTTGTCAATTTGCACTGAGAGACACGCTAGAAATAGAACTAGAAATAGAAATATAACAGCCTTTTTGGTAAAATAGTTACATTAAGATAATGTTGTTGTTTCATTTCTCTACCACCCCACAGCTAAAGCTCTCATGCAAGGTATGTAAGAGCCAGTATGGTTTAGTAGTTAAGAGTGCAGGGCTAGGATTCAGCCATGGAGCTCACTGGGTGAGGTTTGGGCTAGCCCAACCTACCTCACAGGGTTATTGTTGCACAGATCAGATAGAGAGGAGGAGAATTATGTCAGCTGCCTTGAGTTCCTTGAAAGCAAAATAGGCAGGGTTTAAATATAATAAATTAAAAATAAATATATAGGACTAATATAGATAATTACTGTCTGTCCATGGCTACTGTGACACATTTATTTTGTGCTACTGTTATACAATTTATAGTGCAAAACTGTAACATAGCTCATTTGTGAGGTTTCAATGTACATATAAAGTGGGAATGCAGAATTTCTTTCAGCCAAAAAGCCAGTTTCAGAAAAGATCTCCAGGGCTACATTTTGGGTGTGGATAGGACTGAAGGCAAAAGAGGGAACAAAAATTCTTCAAAACTTACTTTAGTTTAAAGCTCCTACTGCTTTAGAAGAGATATTTTTATCCTTGAAGGAGGTTGTGGTTATTAATTCATTCTGTAATTTTTAAGACTTGGAGAACAGGTGAGATCTTGTCAAATATGGCCCACATGTTAGAGAAAAAGGAAAGGAAGCTACTGACCAGTCAGCTTGATGTCAGTATCATGAAACAGGACCCAGCTGTTTTAATGGATCACCAGCTGATTATGATCCAGCAGCATGATATGGTAACTTAAGAAAGCTAATGTAACCTTGGGCTGCCTTAACAAAAGAATAGCTTTTAGATCACATGAAGTAATATTTTTGCTCTATTCTGCATTAGTTAGTCCACAACTGGAGTATAGTACTGGGTCCACTTCTGGACAATCTTCCAGGAAGGACAGTGATAATTGGAGCTCATCTAGAAAAGAGCAACCAAGATGGCAAAGGGGTTGGAAAGAAGGTTGTAGGAGGAATTATTGGAACAGCTGGATACACTGAGTATAGAGAAGAGAGGATTAAGGGGAAATATGATGGCAGTCTTTAAATAGCTGAAAGGTTGTCATGTAGAAGAGAGAGCAAGACTAGAAGCAACTGGTAAAAATTGCAGGGAAGCAGATTTTGAATAAATATTAGGAGAAATGTCCAAACAATGAGAGTTATTCAGCAGCAGATTGCCTTTGCAGTGGTGGATTCTCCTTCACTGGAAGTATCTAAGCAGAGGCTGGATGGCCATCTGTTAGGGAGGCTGTAGCAGCACCCTGCAGTGCAGAGCCAGCACAGAGCAGGCAGGTGGACTAGATAAACTCAGAGTCACTTGATAGGATTCAACTTTTTTTGGAATTGGGAGAAGCTGTGCAAAAACCAAGAAACCACCAAATGATTTGTGGATGGGTGAAAGGGAGTAGGGCCAGGTGATCATTTGAGGAATCTGAGGGGGCCAGAATGGACTCTAAGTAGGCTGCATTTAGCCCATGGGCCTGTGGTTCTCTGTCTCTGAAGTAAAGTCCAAGCAGTGATTATGTTTAGCAATCTACTATATATTAAACTCCTCCATTCCATCTTACAAATGTACTCCCTGCCATCCTTAGATGAATTCAGATCCTGGGACCGAGAAAACATCAGAGACTGGCTTTTTGCAAAGGATGCCAAGAAAGATGCCTCTGTAGCTCAATCTTCCAAATTTTCATCTTGGTACCATCAGTATAAAAAACATAGAGGCTTTTCCCAATATCTGGCTAATATAACCAGTGCTCCATTGAGGAAAGCTTTAACATCTTTGCATCTGCAGACAATGGCCTCTGCTTATCTTGAAGGGAGATACTGTAAGCTCCCTGTTGAGCAATGCCTCTGCCCTTGTGGTGTTGGTCAAGTGGAGGACATTATTCATTACATCCTCCACTGCCCCATTTACAATGAGATCAGGAAGAAATTACTAAATGTAGAAGCACTTAAGGGCTCAGATCTTGAAAAACTAATTTACCTCCTTGCAGTTGTGTTTCCAACTGTTAGCAATCAAGTTGCCATCTTTGCCTTGCTCTCATTTAAACTTAGAAAGAAATGTTTAAGTTCTTAGTTGTAGCACTGGTTTTACTTTGTTGTAATTTATTATTTACAACTTTTATTACCCCATTTTATAATCTCACTAATTCATGGTTTCTATTACTATTTTATTGTATTTTATGTACTTTTTATGTTATGATCTATGGTTACAACAGTAAATTTAATTCATACATCGTTCATACTATGTATTATCAAAGAAAGAATTCTGTTTTCAGAAACAATTGCTTATATCTTGGAATGCATGGAAAATGCTTTCTTAATAGATTAGCCTTGTAACTGTTTCAGTGGTAATGGTCCATGCTTCTCCATACTCAGAAAAAGGGGATCTGATGAGGTCACAAGCAAGGATTTATGTGAACAGGACAGGGCTTTGGGATATCATCCAGCCCCTCACTCTGGAACAGTTAACATCTTTCCATCAAATAGAAGGAAAACAAAAAACAAAAACCCTCCAGGGCTTAGAATCTTCTCCACGTGTATGAACTGCAAACTCTGGATGATTCAGAAGTTTTGTTTGTTAACCTAATGTTGTATGTTTATACAAATATTTGGTCTGGCTAGCATGGTATTTTTCATATATTCATATACAATATTGTCCTTTCCTGTCTTTTTTCCATAAAAAAGAGGAAAATGCCAGAATTTAAAGCCATGTTTAGTAACCTGATTCACTATTCACCATATTCTGTGCAATTGGAAGAAAAAAATCCAGTTCCTCCATTCATTGACCGAAGGTGGAGAGGAAAGGCAGAGCGGCGTCTTGAGGCTTTTCAGAGGCTTGCCATGTAAGCATCTTTCTCTTTTGTATGCTTTTTAAAACCACTGCATTGTTTATGATTACTCTGATGTCATGTTGTGTGTGTTGTGTCGTGGTTGTTATGGTTTCTTTGTTCTTTGTAAGCCATCCGGAGACTTTTAGTAATGGGGCAGCATAGGAAAAAATTCAAATGCATAAATAAATAAAAAGTCAACTGCTCTAGAAAATTAGTCAAGACAGTATAGTGTGACCCATTAACCGCTTTGAATACTGTAAAAAGATTGCATGTTAAATCCTCTTCTTCATTGCCTAAGGACACAGATGTACATTCATTTTTTTCTGTCCTGAATTAATGTGGTCCCATGGACCTCATGGCCAGTTCAAACATATTCACTTCTCTAATAATATTATTAATAATAATATTGATGTTATTTTTCTACTACCCAATAGTACTCATAAATAATAATAATACTACCCAAAGTTCTATGGGTAGTGTACAACAATTGATAAAATCTTATATAAAATATAAATAATATTAAAAGCATCATTCAGTTTCACTGGAGTTTTAAAGTCAGATAGTAGCAACTCAAAACAGCTTAAAAACAGGTTCAGGCAGCTTGGCATACTAAAAACAGCTTTAGCATTTTTTAGAGCTATTTATTGCTATTAAATGCCTTGTCAAAGAGGGCACTTTTAGCCTGGTAACAAATGAACATTAAAGTTGCCACTGGCCAAACCTCTCTTGATGGTGGCATTTGGAGGAATGCCTCAAATGCTTTGTGTACTATCTGGGTAGATTGTGATGGGAAGAGATGTTTCATCAAGTATTCACTAGCATTTTTCTGGCAGACATAATGAGATGCCTCTATTCTCAGAATTTTAATGTAGGCACTTCCAAAAGAAGTACATTGGCAGAGTTATTTCATTGCTTAGGCTACTACAGGTGTCATTGGATGAATATATTGGCCCTCAGCTCCTGCTGTTGACATACTAATTCCAGTTGAAATACATTGCAGACATGCTTTCCTTGTTTGTCATGGTTTATCCACTTCGGTGGTGATAAAGATGAAACCACTGGCTGGAGGAAATACTACAAAAACCCTTTGCTTTTAAACCTGAAGTTTTCTTGTTAGGCATCATACCGGAAGATATTAACAGACAGGAAATGTATTTGATGTTACATTTAATCACAGTGGCGAGGATTGCATTTGCTCAATACTGGAAAAGTGAGGAACTACCCACTGATGAACTGATTCTAAGAAAGATTCTGGACTGTGCAGAAATGGGTAGATTGACTTTATCACTGAAGGAGAAAGAAGACACTGACTTCTATCAAACTTGGGATTTTTTTTATGATTGGCTGGAGAAACGGGACTTGGTGTAGATTTAGAGATGTTTTAAAATTGTTATAAGCTGATTTGAATATGATTATAGAATGTTAAAAAATATGTAGCAGGGGGCTGACCCTGTAAATCCGATGTATGTGATGATTGATGTTTTTAGTATTAGTTTAAAATTTTAATAAAATTTCTTTAAAAAAAAAAGATGAAACCACTGATCTCCTGGACATGAGCACAAAGCTTAAACTTTCCCAGATCAACCATTCCTTGTTAAGAAGTAATATTTACTTATTATAAAAAGTATTCTGACAGACAACCCTAACAATTAAAAGTTAAAATAATCACTCCAAATCCAGTGCAACACAAGCAAAACACTGCAGTTCTGTAAAGCAGTAAGTAAGAGTCCAGATGGTCAGACAAACTTAAAACCTGGAAACCAACAACAGAACTGGCATCAGTTTAGCTTAAAGTTCTTTCTAAACAGGCAGGCTTAACCTAGGGCTTAAAATTACCACATCAGAATCTAATGGGCACTGATAAGTTCCATAATGTTATTTCTAACTTAATGTTAATTTAAAGTATTCCTGGACTACCTTTCTTTCTGAAATACCAGGCCAGTAATAAAAATTAAAGAGGACACAACTATAATCTAATAAAATGATAAAACAACTGCAGGAAAAGAGATCAGAGGCAGAGAAGCCTAAGCTCAAAACAATATTGCACTTGAGTAAATGATAGTATTATCTGTGCTGATTTAGCTTGAATGAAGGACATCTCCACAAAGAAAGTCCTCTGCCTAGTTCTTACACAACAAACCTCCTCTGATAAAAAGACCCAGAGAAGATATGAAGACATGGGTAGCTTGGTATGAGGGAAACAATTGTTCATGTATTTGAGTCCCAAGCCATTTTGTGTTTTTTCATTTATTATGTATTGCACAAGTCCTTAGACTCTGGCAGAATTAAAACAAGCATATACAATCCGTTTAAAAAAGCCTGTCATAATACATAGAATTTATTAAAATTAATATATAAGTTGCTTAAAACAGGTTAGTATTACTAAGGTGCAGATAGAGAAAGTAAGCCAGTCCCAGTGGCAATGGTAAGGCTATCAGGCTGCAGTCATGCTCTCTGAACATTCTTAAGGATTTTCTACAATCTATTCCACCAGCTTCTCCCTGCACCTGGCTGCCTTTACTGCAAACAAGGCAACATTTTTTGTGACACGTCCATTCTCCCTCGAAGCCCAACTTTTCTTTCTATTCCCAGTACTTCATTTTCTTTAGGAAGAATTCTAAATAACATTTTCTAATGCCAGTATATAACTGGCAATATAGTACGTAAGAAGTTGAATCTTCCACATGTGATGATTTGCAGATGCACAGTCTATTTTGAACTGGAATACCATGAAATAGCTGAAGTTTCATCATTGATTCTTTTTGTTCAGGAAGAAGTCTGGTAAAAGCTTTCTGTTGTTCCATTGTCATAGGGTATGTCAGGCATTTTTCAAAATTTTGTTGATGTTTTGTTCCTGCTAGCCATTTACCCGTGTTTCAAAATGTAAGCATCAGCACTCTGAACTGGTTTCAGAAGGAAATAGGCAGCCAATGAATTAGAGTAATATGCTTTCATCTGGCAATAACAGTTAAAAGTTTGGCAGCTACTCTCTGCAACATTTGAAGTTTTCACGTTATCTTTAAGCAGGGTGGATACAAATCAATGATTTTTTTAAAAAATTGGACTTTTTATGTAAATTGAATTTTTTAAAATAAAATGCTGTTTGAGGAAAAGTCTATCTAAAGATAGTTTTCTATTTAGGATTTGTTATAGTCCAAAGGTTATTCATAATGTAATAAGGATTAGTTTTATTTATGTAACACAAAGCTATATATTCATGTAATGTTTAACTTTTTGGTAAATGAATTTGCTTAATCCATTTACAATGGCATGCTCTTCCAGGGGTTCCTATAAGATTATTGGACAATTTTTCTGTCTGGAAGATATTAGATACTTGGGTTTACAATGATTAAAACTGTGAATTTGTTCCTGCGGAGACCCCATGCCTCTTTTTCACAGCACAAATGTTATGAAATAAACATACAGAGTTGAGAAAAAGGCCTTAATTCTGTTGTTCCTTTGCAAATCTATGCCCACAGAATCAACCCCTTAACCCTTAAGTGCTAAGTTTCCAAAAATTCAAGGAACAGAAGCATCTCAGTAGAATAGATTTGCACAAGAAACTAAGTGTGAAGAGGGAGGGGCAAGCAGTAAAAGTGAAAGTGAAACCCTGAGCAGAATAATCCTCAAGTCTTTGGTTCTTTTTGAGTATAGCCTGAGGTTTATCATATTCTTACCCTGGAGGAGAAAGCCTATAATGGCAGCAGGCCATAAAAGAGACCCAGTTTAGGAATATTTTAATGAAGTTCCTCTACCTACAGGTAAGGCAGGCATGCATAGAGAACCATGATTTAAATCTAGCCTTATTGGCTAGTCATTTAAATCATGATTTAAATCAAACCTACCCTGTCTTCAAGGACAGCCCCATATGCAGTAATGCCATTAGGAGATTACTGGACTGTGTATCAGCATAGCCAGGTTATCCCTAGCCAAGTATGATAAAGGAGTACTAAATGAGGATAAGGAGATTACAGAGAAGCTTAATGAATTCTTTTCATCTGTGTTTACTGAAAAAGGTTTGGGGCAGATACCATTACTTGAAGTGATATTTTTAGAAAGTGTCTGAAGAATTGCAACAAACTCTGGTGATAATAAATGAAGTTATCACCAAAATATTAACCTTATCAACAAATTGAAAACAAATCCCTTTATCCAGAAGACACCCATCTGAGAGTTTTTTAAGGACTCAAATGCAGAATTGCTGATCTTCTAACAAAAATATGAAACCTGTCTCCAAAATTAGCCACTGTACCAGAGAACTGGAAAGTGGCCAATGCAGTGCAAATTTTAAAATGAATTCTTGATCCTCTAAAAACAGTGCCAGGTCAAGCCTACGCACTTGATCTTTTAGACGAGTGTTTCTGTCTTACATTGCTTAAGTTTCTGTCAGAGATGATAAACAATGGCCTAAAGTTTCTAGTGCCTTCTTAGGATCTGAAGAGAGAAGGAGATAAAGGGGGATGAGGTTTTTATCAGCATACCCAAACCTGCGGGCCATTTTCCTCAGGAATTTCATGTACCTGTTGAAAAATATTGGGAAAAGATGGAACTTTGTGTGAAACTGTAAGGCCTGGAGAGTATTCCCTTGTACCACCTTCTGGGTCTATCATTCTAGAAACAAGCTGAGCCACTTAAAAGATGCTTCTCATCACTATAAGGCAACTCTGAAGGATGCTATGGTCAATGGTATCAAACTGTGCTGAGAAGTACAGGAGAATCAACAGATTCACACTGCTGCTGTCCATCTCTCAGTGTAAGTCATCCATTACACTGTCCAGGCAGTTTCTCTCTCAAAACTGCACCAGAAATCTGACTGGAAGGGATCTAGATAATCAGTACCATCCAGGGGAAATCAGAACAACACCACCTGCAGATCACTAGACAAGTGTCCAATAAATAGCCAGTTTATTGTATTCCAGCAGAAGAATCAGGTCTTCTGCCACTCCTTATCTTCCTTGATCTGACCTGCCCAAAAGAAGGAACATTCAAGCATTACCAAATTTTTAATGGAGCCAAGAGAGCTACCTGGGCATCACTGATGCAAGAGTTAAACTGACATGTGCAAATTTATAGAGAATTATGATCTGCGGATCTGACCAGTTGATGTAGGTAGAACTCCTTGAAGAGAATCTCTTAAATGTGGCAAGCATCAGCACACCCTAGCTGGCAAGATATCAAAAATCTCACATCAGGGTAACTAATTGGAATTTTGCTAACCCTTTTTAAGAGGAAACTTAGTATAAATTCTGAATGGTCTTTTTTTTTGACATGTTATGATACATTTTATTACCTTTTCATTACAGATCTCAGCCTTCACTTCAGATACCTAGAATTGAGTATGAAGATCCTGAAGTTAGTGGAAGGAATCGCTGGAAGTATTTTGAAAGGTGGGAATTAAAAAGAGCTAATCAAATTTGATTGACAAGTGGCCTGTTTGCATGACCAAATAGACAATTGTTTTCACAAAGTACATGGGAAGCACTGGATTTGTCTGTCATATTCTCAAGGCACAAAAAAAGATACCACTCCTAGTTCTTCTTTGTGGTCTCTGTGCATCATCCATAAGGGCTATGCACCTGCGTGGGGTCCTTTGTCAGATAGAAAGAGATTCCCTAGCTAGATGTTTGGTGGGGGCCCAGTCCCCCTTCCCCTAGTGCGATGTAAAGGCCATTTTCTCCTGTTCATTTCTGACCACCGTCTTGCATGCCTTGGATTCATTCCTCTCTAGCTCTTCTCACTATCTAAAAACTTACTTTTTCTTCAACCTTGCTTCACAAAACTCAACTTTCTTTCACTTTTCAGCATTTCTAAACTTCATCTATCCCATCTTATAATTTTTTCTAAGCCTATCCATCTTACCTCATAACCTATTCTTACCATTACAGCTTTCCATTGTCTTTCCTACCCCCTCCCCTTCCCCACTTTATTCTACTCACTGATGGCATTCACAACTGTGTTCCGAAAGTGTGTGTGCTGTGGCACTGAGATGCCCTCAAGTGATGGGCACTCACTCTCTCTCTTCTGCTGGGAGAAAACCACAGGGTAGATTCTTGCCTACATTACCAAGCTATGATTAAGCAGGCAAGGAAGAACCAAGTGGGTCATCTGCATCATGACATGTAGATCAGGTCTTGCAGGTGGCAGATTCAATCAAGCCAGGTCCTTCTGCTTTGTGGGTAGCTCTGAGTGCTCGCCCTCCTTCAGCAGTTGCTGGGGTTTCACCAGCTGAGCAGGAAAAATCCACTCCAAAGGCCACCAAGAAACAGCTGAAAAAGAGAATCAAATGTGGTCAAACATCAACCCATGGCAGCTCAAAAATGGAGGGAAAAAGCAATGCAAATATAACTCATTAGATGTGCACAAATCTAATGACTTAACAAATCATGATTTGTTCAAACACCTCTAGAAATATTGAGCTCTCAATTCCCCATTTGTGCAGATACTTTGAACACTTTTGTAGAAGTTGAACCCCCCTTTCCCCAACTTGGTCCACTTTTGCCTTTCACATCTGGATGGTATCAAAAGTCCATCAAGTGCAAATAGAACAAGTTTTCCAGTGTCATATTCTGCTTCCTGCTCCACTGGTTACGCTAAACACATTCCTCTGTCTTTTCAGGCCTTTCATCCCATTTCACAAGCCGATTCCACTGAATATTGTTTATGCAGTGTCAAAGTGAGTAGTGTTACATTGGTACAATGGTTTATCTTCATAGAGGGAGAAAGCTATTGCACTGTTTCTCAGGAAACTGTTTTTTTAAATGCTGAAGCAATATTGAAAGCAGCTGCTTTCCCCCAGACGTACCTATATGCCACCAAGCGATCACCTCGGAGCCTCCTCTTCTCCAGGCTGAAAAAACCAATTTCCCACAGTCTTGCCTCATATGGCTTTCCCTGCAGTCCGCCCACCATCCTTGTGGCCCTATGCTGCACTGATTTTAACCTGGCTATTTCCTTCCTGTGATGTTTAAAGTAGTTCATAGTATATTATGACCTTAAACTTTGCATACAGAATAAAATTAGGTCTAGGCTAGTGGTCAGTATCCAATGCTACCTACTACCACTTCTGTTCTGTGAGTGCCCACCCTCACCATTGAACAAGCACTGCTCACTGTTTGCACAGTGAAGATTTGACATGTCAGGACACAAGTCCTGAAACACACAGAAATACTCCTTTCTGCAATGGTGTAGGTTGGTAGAGCTTCATTATCTGTGCTGACCTGCTTTGTACCCAAGATGAGTGTTTATGCTTATTTTGACCTGCTCCCAGAAGCACTAAATCTCAGTTGTGTGAGCAATGGGCATTGGGAGAGCTGTCCAGAATGTGGGACTATGACCATGGAGGTTTGGTTTTAAATCCTTGTTCCCAGACTATCCCAGCACCCATTCAGACTGGTCCTACCTCAGGACTGTTGTGAAGATAAGGAGGATTATGATGAAGATAAGGAGAAGATATGACCACTTGAGCTTCTTGGCAATATAGTATGATAAAAATGCAATAAACAAAATAGAAAATAAGATGAGGTATCTATAATTTATGTTTAAATGTGTGAAGACATTCTAAAATAGTGTCTGGTTCTTATTTGCCTTTTAGGCCAGATCCATTCACTCATCAAGCTCTACTAAGGGACAAACCAGCCTATCTCATTTCACGAACTGTGGGTACACAAACAGATTACCGGGACGGTGAAGCTCAGACAGATCCCTATAGCCCAGAATATGTGGTCCCTTCAGGTTCAATCCCTGAGTTACTGACTCTTGCCACACTGACTTGGGGTGAGTTGAACAAAGTATTGATGATTATATGAGGCACAGGAAGCATAATGTTCCATATTATTAGTGGTTCAGTCTTTTTCCCTTGTTCTGGCAGCATTGCTATGTGTTTGAATTTTTAGGAAAAAAATCTGAGTGCTCAGATATGTTCCCAGCATTTGTGCTGGTTATAAGTTCTTTAAATAATAGAGTTTCAGCAATTCCAAACTCTCAAGTGCTAACCCTCAAGCTCATTATCCCAGAAGCTCAAACTCCAAACATGCTAAGCACTCCAACAACCAAGAGGTACTTTAATCATCTAGATTTTTAAACACACCCCACAGATCTGCCCCTCTTCTACACATTCCAGCCAAATCCACTACCTCACACTCTCCACAGGATCACCATGCCAAACAATCTTGGGGAGCAACATACCTCAGTGGCCTTGAAATCCTCTGCTAAGGCATTAATGCACACTGCCAGCAAGAACAAGTTCTGGCCTTGCATCTACAAAAGAAAGTCCTAGTCCCAGTCCAACATCCAGGCAGCAAACATTCCTGTTGCTTTCTAATCTTACTCTGCATTCTAGAGATACAAACAGATTCCTGTTCAACACAGGGAAACTAATGTGCAAAAGAAAAAAATGGTGGATTTTCAACAGTGGTGCCCTGTATCGGCAGGAAAGATGCAAGTCCTGTGTTCACAGCTTGTCCTACTTTCACCACCCCGGGGCTACTTAGTGATAGATTTGGCCTGAACGGCTTACCATCTTTCTATTTGATTTTGCATTTCTCTTTTGAACAACAACTTGTCACTGCTCAGGCTGTCTACTAAACATACACGTCTTTTATCTTTGTCCAGTCCCTATGTTTCCTCAAAAACATCTAGCCTGTATAAACAGCCGCGTTTCATTTTTCAGACACAACCACCTCCATCAGCCTATTCAAACTTGCCTATTCAAACCTGCCCATTTCTCTCAACTCCTGGGCAAACTTTCTCTGGATCTTCTCTGAGTTCTCAGATTTGTTTGGCTAAGTAACATAAACAGTCACAAGGAATAGAGCTTTTAAGCATCACGTCTTCATCATTGAGTTTTTTAAAGTCTCCCCAGGGAAGAGCCAAGAAAATCTACTACCTTGTTATTGTTCTTCTCAATCCAATATAACCTCTTGTGTTTGAGAGTTAAAGATTCATCTTGAAAATGAGAGTTAGCATTCAAGTGGATAGCATTTGATAGGGAGAGAGCAACAATGTAGGGAAAATGGTCACCATCAGGCCTATAGCCTACAAAAATTCAGAGACCTACCTAGATAAACAATGGGAAATCAACATAAAAGCCACTACACTGCTTCCATGTCCAGATGCAGAGGTGAATTCTACAATTTTGTTTAAAAAAAAGAATGTCTGTCTAAAATTACAAGGGCAAGGCAGCTCACCATTTGAGTCAAATGGATGCCACCATAATTCACCTTAGGATCTTTAGAGATTCTGTCATAACTGAAGATGAAAATCTCATTGTCAGCTGCCACCCCTCACAGACCAGAAGAGAAAAATATATTATTATTTGGTCCTAATCTTGCATTAAAATCACCCATTGTAAATAGTTGGGCTCTGGGAAATTTAGATTCTAGCCCAATTATATAATTTTCCAAGTTTTTCCAGGCCTGATTTATACCATTCTGAGAGGGAAAAGGTGGAATATAAACATATAAACTTGGTTTCAAGATCAATATAACCAGCCATAGTTATTTTCCCACAGGAGAGGAGCAGGGAGACCCACTTAATAGATGTTTGAAGGGCTGTAGATATCAATATTGTCAGGCTGGACTTAGGTCTACCTTCCCCTTTAGTAAGCTCAGCAGGCATGTTATTTACTAAAACCCCATTTAAATAGATTATTATTAATTTTTTTGGTGGGCCAGGTTTCTTGAATAAAGATTAGTTCATGGGCTCTTAAATAGTCCAAAACCTTAGCATCATTTTGCTTGGAGGCCCACCCTGCTATGTTCCATGAGGATTGTCGCATGCCTCCACCAAATTTTTCTGTTTATCCCAAAGAACAGTTGTCAGGCAGTGGAGAGAAAACTTGGTCCAAACTCTGTCAAGCTATCTGATTCAGCTCCCTATTCTTATTGAGAAAAACACAGCCAGATCCTTTTTTTGGGGGGAGGGGGAGTTATATATTCAGTTTTAGAAGTTTAGAAGTTCAGTTTTAGAAGGATGTCAATGTGGGGAGCCATATTGTCCCAATTCTTCAGAGTGCTGGTATCTTCTTTGCAGCAATCCCGTACTGGTCATTGGGTCCTTCCAAGCGACAGTGAAATTGTATTCCTTGGTGGTAGAGTAGTTCATTGAAAGCCTGCTGGCTTCCAACCTTCTCACTGTTCTTATTATGTAACCTTGTCTGACTGCTAATTATCTCAGTGTCCCAAACCTGAGGTCTCACATTCTAGTCCTATAGTAGATAAGAACATCTTGTAGAGAAGAAAGACTGTTAATTATTTCCTAATTATTGGAGGCAGGGCTATGTAAGAATTTAAAAACATCAATTCTGGGTCTAAATCAACTCTTGGCTCATATATAATCTGTTGATCTTGCCCCTTTAAATTCTGATTAGGCCTCTTATAATGATATTTGTTTGACCTCCTCCAGGTTAACTAGTGGGCTAATCTCATTAACTCTTCTATTATTTCTTGGGTGTTTATGAAATAGAACAATGGGTGTAGTATTTTTGAAGAATTTAATCACTGTCAAGCCCACATTAAGAAATTTATTCCTGCCCTTGTATTTCAAAATATTACCGGCTAAAACTGCAGGATGGTAATTTCAAGCTTTTCCTGGCCCTGACACAGAGCTACAACCTGACGGCTTTTGCCTACGGTGCCATGCAGTGCTTAAACTGAACTACTCAGTGGCACAGATGCAGCTCTGAGAGTCCATCCTGCTCGAAGAAGTGGTTGCTCATCACCACAAGCAATCAGTTTTCTAAAAAAGAAAAAAAGTGTCAGATGTACTGACAAAGCTTGTCCCTTTAAGATCAACCATGCCCAGTTTGTTCTGGCTGTGCTAGAAACTGGAGGTCCCCTTCAGGAAACCTGAAGCATTCTCTTCAAATAGCAAGTGATGTATCTGCTCTCTCCTCCTGAATTCCAAAGAAAACTGCAGCAACTGCTTGTAGGAAGAGTGATTAGAAGGCAGGGCTTCATTTTTCCAGCATCACTTTTAAATTGAGTTTTTCTGCCCCTTGAGAGAGAGCTGAGGAGACTTGGAGAGCTTGCTCCCACCCCCCNGGTTTCACGGCTGTGACCATGGTCTTTCAATTTGGCGCCTCACTAGGACGATAAAAAATTTCGACATCATGCTTCCTGAAAGCGTGTGGAGAAAAATGGTTTAGCAGAAATCACACCTCTGTCCACCCTGCCCATAAGCCCCAGTATGAACCTGAAACTTGGAAGAAAGACAGCACAGGCGTGCACCTAAGATCGGAGGGTAAAGCTCACTCTTTCCATTTAACATGTGTAGTCTTCCTTTCATGAGCACCTTACACAAACAGTGATTACTCGGCGCTGTGCAACGCAATGATGCGACTTTGCTTGCAGTATAGTCCTCATTCAAGT